TCACTTCAGAAGTGTTAAACGTATCCATTCTGAATTTGAACATAAATAATTCGCATAAAAGGGTGAACAGGGGAGACCCCATTGATGAACCTTTAATCTGATTAAAGAATTTATTGCCTACTTTAAAGTATGGGTTTGACATACACTCATGGGTTAGCATCAAGATTTTACTCACCTCAAACAGAGAAAATTTCTTACTCTAATAATTTATTTTGAAGACAATCCAGTGATTCTTCAATCTTAACATTCATTAATAGCGAAACAATGTCAAAATAGATTAGTTTACCCGTTGATTCCAAATTTATCCCAGTGTACAGAGTTAGTTATAAACAAACATTTCTGACAAATATATTTTACCAAAGGATGTAATGATGAGCCCTAGTAGCCACAGTTGGAAGAAAGGGGGTATTTTATTGATTTTAGGTAGCACATAAACCTGGGTAAAATATACCTTGAGGGAACGAGGTCCTTATTTTCTTTCGGTGCAAAAATAGCAATTTTTTTTAAACTGTAGATGGTGGGGTGGGGCCCATTTTTACTTGTTCGTAGGAACCATCTTGTAACAATTCTTCAATTTTGTTCTCATAAACACTTTTATCTAAAATAACAACTTGACCTCCTTTATTTGGCTTGGTAAATACAATGTTACTATTGTTCTGTAACGCATGTAACTGTTCTAGCTCACCCTTATTTAAATTAAGTTTAGGTTTACCCTTCTGGTTCCGAAAGCTGCCTTCCCTTTAGTATTTCTCTGCTAAATTTGAGACGGCTAGCGCAGATAGCCCTAGTGTAGCTTTGCGAGAAATTTCAAAACAAACAATCAAACTGTTCTAACTGTATGTTTCATCCTATCATTAACTTCTAGTCTTTTAAAACATTGTTCTGCTGATACAATAATATCATCTTTCAGTGAAAAATTGTTATTATTGTAAGCTGAAAATTTCCATTTGCTTAGGTGACACCTCTCATAACATGAGAGTTTGTTTGCCATATGTTTAAGGTTTACTAACAAGAATTTAATAAGCAACATAATTAAATATATATATATATATATATAACGTAGTATAACGTTCTTTCCGTATTGTAAACTAAATAATTGACTTACAGGTATACAAGGTAAAGTAGAAGTTGATAATTGTGGTATTTATAAAATACCTTGTGTCTGTGGTCGAATTTGCGTTGGTCAAACGTACAGAAATTTGAAATTTAAGATCAAGGAACCTAAGAATACGGTAGAAAATGATGAAGTATTGTGTAATTATTTTAGTGCTGTTAATTGTTTGTATATTTTGCACAAGTACTGTTTTAAAGTATTTAAAGGTGTAATGTTTTGACAAATACTGTAACTGCAAACAGTTCATTTTCTGCCGTAGAACTAATGATATTACCAAAGCCACATGTATACATCCCTATATTTGGGCTCGTATTTGTTCCCACCACTGTAACACAAAGAGAACACATGGAAAAACTTATGATTTTTAAATTCTGCACTATTAATCCCCTTTTAATGAACGAAAAGTTCATTATCCTTTTCCTTTCCCCACTTTCCCATATATCTGATTTAAGCATTCTCACAACTGTTTGCTTAACAGTTTTGTTAAATGAACGCATTCTGTGTTTTATTCGACCACTCAAGTCTATTTGTTATATCAAGCCTTACTATATTTACTATACTTGCTGCCTTTATATCCATTTGTTTGTTCGTTTTATGTTTTTCTTCATTTTTATATCAAATTCCCATAATTTTCATTGTTGTATCTCACTGTTCGATGCACGCCTTCATTCTCTAGTTATTTGTATATCTATCCATTCTGTTGACTTTATATGTTCTAATTTAATTCCTTTTTTATGCTTTTTATTTCTTCTAGATTTACCCAGAAAAGTATTAATATATTACTATTATTATTTATACGTGTTACTTCCCAAATCTCTATGTTATTAGCTTAAGAATATGTTTTAAGCTACGAATTCTTTGTTCTTATACTCTAAATCTTCTACAAGCGGTTTTATCCTCACTTAACGTTATTTTCGTATTTGTTAATTAGATTATTTTAGTTTGAAGAGTGATTCGCCTTATTTGTTTTATTCTACAATTCCACTATCAATGGCATCAGTATCCAAGGTAAATGTACAGGCTTGTTTAGCCTGGTGGTTAGGGCACTTGACTCTGAATCTGTGGGTTTTTGAGTTGTAATGGTGGTAAAACATGGAAAGTTTTTTTTTTTATTATTATGTTCAGTGAATATAGTTCGCCATGTTATTTCTGTTTCTCCGATGTAGAGTTTTGGACAGCTATCACACGTTATTTTATTTAGTAATGATTTTAGTTTAGATCTGGATTTTTGAGTGAATTTGAAGCCGACAGGAATTATATGTTTAATGGCAATGTCAGGGTTTTATATATGTGTGTGGGCTGAGTATTCCTCTACAGTAGATGTCTGTGAATTTGAAGCCGACAGGAATTATATGTTTAATGGCAATGTCAGGGTTTTATATATGTGTGTGGGCTGAGTATTCTTCTACAGTAGATGTCTGTGACCTGTCGGCAATAAATTCGACAATAAACGGACAGCACACACTCCAGTTGGTTTAAAATAGTATATTTGAAACAAGTCATACGTATTTACAAAATTCTTTACACTACGAAAATCACAGTTGTATCCGAAACTCTAAATAATTCTCTTTTTCTTCTCAAAAGTCCACTTCGGCTGATTCAATTACTTTAGAACCTAATTGACAAAGACGGACTATTTTTCTCTACTTTTATCACAATATTGCCCCCCAGTTGCACAGCATTATGTCTGCGGACTTACAACGCTAAAAACCGGGTTTCGATACCCGTGGTGGGCAGAGCACAGATAGCCCATTGTGTAGCTTTGTGCTTAATTACAAACAAATCACAATATTCGCAGTGAATAATTTCACTTACGTCATCCAATGGGTTACCACAGTTGCATCCTTAACCTTAATAATTGTCTCCTTTCGTCAAAGTCCACACAGGCGGGTTCAATTACTTTATAACACCCTTTGACAAGACAAATTATTCTCTTTATCTCTATCGACCTGTGAATCTCACTGGCTAACTTCCCTTTTTTCTGACTGAACTTTACTTCTTTAGTTCTCTCTTCTTATTATTTTTAACTTGCGCTCACGCGCCACATATATAAATACCTTATTCATTGAGGCCTCGAAAAATAACAAAGATTGGAGTAATGTGGCGTCAACAATATTAGTTAAATCTCGACAACAACAATGAATTGTAAACACAGCATACGACTCTTAGTGAGTTACATAACCAACCTTGTCATAACTATCGCCTTTAAAATAATTAACTTTTATCAGTCTTGTTATGAAAAAAAACTAAACAATTTTTAAATATTAATTCACAAGTAAATCAAATAATAATGCCTACACTAAACAGTTTTGTATATCTAACTAGCAAGTTTTCTTCAATTGTGAATTAATTTTGAACTAATTTCTGGTTGAATTGTTAACTGCAGTGTAATGTTGTGTTGTTTGGTTTAGTAGAGTTAATTTTATTCGTGGATTGAAATTTGAGATTTTGTTCTTATGGTTGTGTGAGTATGTTCCGACAATAAAGTTTTATAAAGTTGATTTCTTTATCTATGTAGTCAGTTGAGCAAAGTCTTGAAACTGTATTTATAAAAATGTTAGTGTATTGATTTTTGTTTGGATTCATGTGAAAATTCTAGGGAATGAAGAGGCCTATGTGAGTGACGTTTCGGTGGATTTTTGTTTTGAACTGTGTATCACATCTAATAATGTCGGGGTTAAGAAAATATGACTGTTTGTTATTTTTGTGTTCGATTGTGAACTTAATGTTAGAATGAATGGAGTTTATGTGTTCAAAAAATGTGTATGTGTTTAATAGAAATGAAAGTTCAAAAGTGTCATTAACATATTGTTGCGTCATCGAGATCACATGACTACAGTGACGCCACGTTTCTAGAACTATCCCGTATCTTGGCGAATGCTCTAGTATTTGCTAGATATAGGGTAGTTTGGTATATATAAGAGGGGACAACGTGACGCGAGATGAAGGTAATGTAATGTGTGTGGATAGTGAGTAATTGATCGCGCTAAACAAACGCTATAACAACGAACGTCAATAATACTTCTGACCGCAGAATACACTCAACTTCAACAACGGTAAAGTTGTATTCGGAAAGAAGAAACCAGTTTTATTAAGTAAAGAACTTGTGTCGCTAAAGTTTCGTCGGAACGAAGTTACGGAAAGTTAATTAACAAACAGAGACGTAACAATACGAAACTCAATTTTGGAGATAATGGCGTTGGCGTTCTAGTTTAGATAGATGATGTCGTTTTACTTATGTTTCAGTTTAAGTTATTCCCCTAGAATTCGGTGCATTTAGATTAATTCTGGAGTTTTCCAGTATATAATAAAACTAGTTATTAATGATATTATAGCATTAATTAATAAACATCTTTGTAATACTATCTTTAAATTTCACTGAAGATGAAGTAAATGTATTCTGAAACGTTCGAACCTGGTAAATAAAATGTTTTGTGTTTTGTCTTCATCTTTATTATTAAACTGTTTCACAGTTGTTTCTACTTTCACGTACTTCGTGTTATGCTGATCTAATTAACGTTCTTTAGATTACGTACTTTGTTAATGTAGTAAACATATTATATAATAAATTTAGACTACACGTTCAATAAAATCTTTGGTTTTCTTTATATCGTATAAATATATATATTTATATATACAACATACATAGTTGTAAACATAACTACCAGGTGGCAATAAAATCGGCACTTTAAACATGTGAAATAATTTATAGTTATAAAACGAGATTAAAAACGATTCGGAAGAGAATCGTGTCTACTATTTACATAGCAATAACATAATATGGTAGAAAAATATCTTTACGCTCAAGGTCAGTTGTTATCAAAATATGCTTATAAAAATATTACCGCGCATGCGCGATAGGTAGGTGTAATCAGGTAAGAACTTAAAAGTAGATAATAAAGTTTTGAGTCTTGGGGACTACACAGACGAGGAGGAAGTGGTTATGTGTTGTGTTTGTAGACTAGTAATTAAACGCGTTCTACTTAATGCATGTGCAAATGAATCTACTAGTTTTGCAGTGGATGTTTGAAGCTTTATCTATTTGTTTTGTATCTCCTAGGTAGAACAGGAATTTATTATTATCCCAGTTTTACTTGCCTGAAAGTTGTCAATTTTAAAAATTACCACTAGTAGTGCTAGTGTTGGGTACTGCCATTCATAGTTTTTAGTCTATATTATATATGACTTACAACTGTTAATTACTTTAAGAATCAATTTTTGCGTAATTTTAAAATACATTTCTTTTATAATGGGAAACTGTTTTAGTAATACAGGAAGTAACAATCTCAAAAAGGTAGATAACTTGGGCGTTCAAGCTCCAACAGAACGAAATGAGAGTATTTCCATAGGACTTCCAACAAATATTGGACTAAATCCTTTGGTGGGACAGGTTCAAACACATGAACCTACAAGTATAAGACAGGTCCACCATGATTTAGGCTTGCCTGCGATTAATAGAAATGGACCAAGCTTGCCTCCCATTCCAGCAGAAACCGAGACCACAACTGGTTCGAATACTAAAATATTTGTAGCACTGTATGACTATGATGCAAGAACTGATGAAGATTTAAGTTTTAAGAAAGGAGACCACTTGGAAATTTTAAATGATACTCAAGGAGATTGGTGGTTTGCTCGTTCAAAAGCCACAAAAAAAGAAGGATACATTCCATCAAACTATGTTGCAAAACTTAAATCCATTGAAGCAGAACCGTATGTATCTATTTTTTTCACTTTGGAATATGTTTCTTTAGATATGCTCAGTAACGTGTAAGTGTAATTATATAGAAGTAATCTTTAATTGAAAATAACATAAAAACTCAGTTACATAACATACTGTCATACTATTCTGTTACTATTTGTGTTATTAACAGCTGTCATGACCTTCCATTAACCTGAACCTCACATAAATATATTTAACCAAAATCTGAAGAATGAAAAAATATGCCATGAGGCCTAAACATAAAATGTAATATAAAATGCCTGACCATAAAAAGAATTAGCCATCACTTATAATATAGCTCTTCAACCCCTGGAATCATCCTTGTGACCCTCATCTGAACCATTTCCAATAAGCCAATATTTTTTCATAAATAAGGAGACCAAAAATGAACACAATATTCCAAGTGAGACCTAACTAATGATCTATACAGGGATATAATAACCTCTTTTGACTTGTAATCAGTGTGTCTATAAATAGGCCCTAAATTTCTAGTAGCTGTAGTACTAGCACCATATCTCTGCTTCAGTTGCTTGAGTGACTTATCCACCATATATATATCAAGATCCCTTTATTCAGACACATTAGGGAGGTGGTTCTAGACTATATTAAATGTGTAATCCAACTTATGAGGTGGTTCTAGTCTATATTAAACATGTAATCCAACTTATGAGGTGGTTCTAGTCTATATTAAACATGTAATCTAACTTATGAGGTGGTTCTAGACTATATTAAACGTGTAATCCAACTTATGAGGTGGTTCCAGTCTATATTAAACATGTAATCCAACTTATGAAGTGGTTCCAGTCTATATTAAATGTGTAATCCAACTTATGAGGTGGTTCCAGTCTATATTAAACATGTAATCTAACTTATGAGGTGGTTCCAGTCTATATTAAATGTGTAATCCAACTTATGAGGTGGTTCTAGTCTATATTAAATGTGTAATCCAACTTATGAGGTGGTTCTAGTCTATATTAAACATGTAATCCAACTTATGAAGTGGTTCTAGTCT